CAGCACCCCATGCAATGCAGCAATCGAAAACCATCTCGAACACGGCGTGCGACAAAGATACTGAAAGAAGGTGTAGCAAATGTTCTCCACATCTCAGCAGTTACAATCATCCAGTGAAAGGCAATAGCGTCAGACAGTAACCACGGACTCACCAAATACGGCGTCAAAAAGCAGCGAGATGTCAGATGCCGAAAGGTCCGCATTTCTTCCCCCCGTGACACTTCCACGGATGAATACAACTGCCGTGCCCTGCGGCCTCTCAACTCCTTCGGGACAACGTTTCGGCCACATGGCGATGGCTCAATGTGGCTGGCGATCAGATCCAGTCGTCGCAGCAAAACATTACAGAAAGTAAGGTGGAGAGCCCGCGCATTCGCCTCGTTGATGCCTGCCTCCACCGCAAGAGTGAAACACGTCTCCCCAACAGCCGTACTTCGGGTGGCTGAAACACCTGCCCTCACATCGGCGATGACATCTGCAAGCGCCTGTAATTCTTCGCCAACGCCCGTCAGAAAGAAACTGAAGCGGCACTCAAACCCTGCAGCCACGCATCCCTCGTAACCATTTTCAAACTCGTTGTCTAGCAAAAACACCTGAACAACATAACAGGAAGACCGTTCATTGCTGGCAAGGGACAAGAACACGTTGGGTTCATCCTGCAACAGAAGCTTATGCCTCCTGCGTAACGCGGCTACAAGTACTCGACGCGCCAACACCGAAACGGATGGCATCTTGCCCCATGACCCACCCCCTCCACAGGGGTCCAAGAAGTGCAACAGACCATCCTCCCACCGAAAGAAAAGCCCAATGGAGCGGACACTGCAGTGTGCGGACCACCCTGCAGAGACTCCCTCAGAGAACGAAAGCTCCTGAATGTCTTTCAGAAGGGGTCGGCGGATTGGCTGTGAAGCCAACAGGCACAGAAGAGCCACTTGCTCTGCAAGCATCCAATGACGCAATTGAGAACGCAATATTGCAAGGTACATCAACCACCCTGTTTTCTTCTCCGTCTGTGCGGGTACGACAGTCCTGCCATCATCCTTCGCCCTCACAAAGTATTCCACAAGGTCCTTTGAGCCAGAGACCACCACACGGCGATATGCCACCGGATGAGTAATTTCCATCTCGTACAAAATAAAAAGCTTTCCACGTCGAGGATGGCAATGAAAACGAGCATATAGATGAGCAACATGAGGGTTCTCTGTGCTGTGATTCATCACAACACTCCACCCCTCATTGATTCGGGCCTCCGCCACACAACGAAGTACACAAGTAGCGACACTTACACGCAACAAAGTAAA